GTTTGTTGAATCTGACGTGACATGTTCGTACGAACCCTTTGTACGAACAAAAGTAAGAGAAATTTAGGATAAAAATACGAACATGTTCTTGCATAAGGCCCAATGTTACTCCACATCAAAAGGAGTRCATTGAGCTGGCATCTGATTACAGAACCAGCTGGGTCCCTCACTCTGAAGGTTCACAGGGCAAAAAGAGGACACCCCTGGAAGAGCCAGAACTCACTGAAGGACTTATTTATCCTCTATGGGACACGTTAAGATCTTCCAGCACAAGCTGGGAAAAGAGACATGTGTGTTTCCCTTCTGGACRTGTTGCCTCCCAAACCCAACCATGGATGAAGAAAATGAAGTAGATGAATTTGAAAAGAGAAAGTGTTTTTATGCTACATACTTTATTTTTGTAATTTGCATAGTATTTGCAGTATTACAGCTGCTTTGGTATCTTCCTCTAAATCTAGTCTCATTAGTGTGTTGAGATGTGAGGTCCACTCTGAATGTGTAAATGTTGTGTTGTCAGGAGGAGAGAAGAATTCTTTGAGCTCACCAAGAACAACCAGTTTGTTTGGGAGGATGAACATCACAGAGAATTACTGAGGTAACCACAGAGAGATCTGAAGGATTAATGTTGAACAGTTTCTGATTATGAAGGTAAAACTGTTGTTGTTTCTCTCTTTCTCTCCCCCCCCCCACCCAGGTCAATGCTGATGACTGCATGTGACATCTCAGCCATCACTAAGCCGTGGCCGGTGCAGAAAAGGGTAAAACAGCTGTTTTTGCATTTGGGTTGTGGTTCTTTTTGTTGTGGAGATCCCATGGCAGCTTGTTTGTCGTCGTTCATCATAAATATTTTTTTCACTAATTCATTCATCTTTATCGTTTTAACAAATATTAACATATTAAACTAAAATAGAAGAATTCTTAAACTTATTAATCCTGTTTATCCTGTTTATTTAGGAGACTGTGCTCAAAGTTTAGATGAAAACACCAGAAATATAAAATATTCCAAATACAGYCTGTGTCTCAATTCATGGGTTGAAGCCAACATCGGCCGCATTTGTCGGCCACTTACATCACTGCCTCATGCCGTAGGTTGTCCTGATTCTGGCGCCTACTTATGTGGCCAACAAAACCCCAAAAACGTAGGCTGCATCTACAGTAAGTATCCTACACGACTGACACAGCCACAGTTGCAGACGATGACTTACAGATGATGATGCCAAAGTAAAGTTTTAAATGGCAATCATTAAGCAACATTTCTAGGTCAATTTTTATTTTATTTTAAAAATCTAAATCAAAGGTGAAAATAATGAGGTTTCCAAGAAGACTTTTGGTTCATTCGATCCCACAACAGTTCTCCACGTTGCTTTATGTCGCAAACTTGTTTTTAGAGAYTCACGTTTTATCCCTGAAAGTAAACAGTAAGCATGTAATATATTTTAGTGGGCTTTACTCTAGCCTCATGTAAATGTGAGCAAACTGCAGCAAAACAGAGATGTTTGTTTGGCAGCACAGTTTGACACATCTCTTTTTCCCAGAACTTTTTGAATCAGATGGATTTACAAACTAACTGTACATCTGAGTCCATCTTTCTTTCAAATGGCAGCAGACAGCTAACCTACAGCAGCTGTTAGTCCACGTCAAACTCTCTGTAGCTGAAAGTTAACTTAACAAGATTATTGCTACTAGTTTGTTACAGTGAGCCCAGACTTTGTAATATGTTAAAGGGGACATATCTGCAAAATCCACTTTTTTTAGCTGTTGAATACATATTTGTGGTCTTGGAGTTTCTAGGAGTGTGGAAAATTTGAATTTAGTCTCTCCTGGTGCTACAAAGATATGTTTATATTCTGTTTGGGTCATATATTTCAGACCGTTCAGTTTCTCTATTGTCTATGATGTTTTCTGAGACTATTACATCAAATMATCTGTAACAGAACAGCCAAATAAAGATCTGGACTTACCAACTACAATTTCCTCATCTTAATTCTCCTCTGGTTCTGGGTCAGACTCTGGCTRCAACATGTAAGGCTGGATGGACAAGTCTTCTGGTATTGACATCTTTTAATTAAATTGTAAATAAAACGTTTCTGCATTGCTAGAAAATGTAACACCACCCCACCCCCCAACCCGAAATGGACCGGTCTGGAAGCTGGAGGGGGTGGAGCTTAAAGCGTCTTAAAGGATCAGTGAAAAGACAAGCTGCTTTGAGGCACACATCAGAAACGTGGTGAAAGAYGGGCCGGTAATYTTAGAATAAGAAGGAATTCAGACACTTWACAAAGACCCCAACTGAATGATTTWAATGTGAAAAGGAAGGATTTAAAAGCATCATATCTAAATTCTTTCAAACTAATGAGAACCCCAGAGCAGCTGTTGGTTTAAGCTCCATCATCCAAAAAAGTTTTTGCTTCATGGTTCTGTCTCGTTCATCTCTTCTCCTGTTTATTCTGAAGCTTGTCGACTCAGCGACATGATCATGGTGTAATCAGAGGCATGTCCCTGCGGTGCACTGTCCCCGGTGACTTTCATTAGACTGCACCTCATCAGGAAGCACTGGCACAGCAGAGCTTCACACGTTCTTTGTGCTCATTAGCAGAAACAGCTGGGGCCATCCAGTAAACAAACACACACTGTTATCTCATCAAGTACAACTATAGAGCATACAGAAGGAGTTCGGTCAGTGTGACGCCCGTCTGAAATCCAAACACAACCGGTTTGCTCACTCATTTGATCAAAGTTCCATTGGATGTGTGCTGGTCATGGTCAGGAGAGTGCTCCTTCATGCTACAGATGAGGACATGTTTGGTATTTTTTCTAACTTCTGCGATGACCTCTGATGTTCTGCTTCATGGTTTGATGTTTTTTTGAGTTTTTCCAAAGCGACAGAGGGAGGAGCTCATTAAAAAGTGTGACAGAAAAGAAAAACCAACAAGATAATACTAACACTGGTGCTTCTATATTGGCGCTGTGAATTATTTTTACACTTCCAGTTATTAGTCTTCATTGATGTGGTCCATCTACACTACACTGGATAGGTTTCGTAATGAAATGTTTCTTCATTTGAAAACAAAACTGCACAACTAGTGATGTCGATAAATGATCATCTCAAAAGAATTATTACTTTAGTCTTAAGGTCCGGACACACCTTTGACCCTTTGCAGCTACATCATGGATGTCAGAAGTGAGGGAGGGACATTGACCAGAGTGACTARGATTGTTCTCCCAGTATAGCCATGGATGTTTCAGGTAGATGACTTAAACTTTTAGGGTGCTACATTTTGCGTGGAGTAGAACTTTTATCAGACYGTGGAACAGATTTAATGAGGTGCCGCTGCTTGTCGGCACATTTTACAGCAGACTGTGAGCTGAAGTTTATTGAACTTTATTGAACTCCGCAACTCTGAGGCTTGATTAGTGACCCTGTCAGGACCTGCAGGTAGCTTCAACACACAGAGAGGCTCTGATTGGAGCCTGAGGCTGGAGTCACYTCTCGTTCACCTCTGTGAACACAAACACACTAACATTTTGTGATTGTTTTTGACAAACGTCTTTTTTCTACTTGTTTTTACTTCTTGTGTTTTCTGAGAACTTTGGGTTATTTCTGTCACATCTTCATTTTTAAAGTTTGAGTGTTGTCTCTTTGACTCTTTGACTGTTTAAGTATCTGGGGATCTTGTTCACGAATGGGGGAAGAACGGAGCGGGAGATCGACAGGCGGATTGGCGCAGCGTCTGCTGTAAAGCGGGCGCTGTACCGGTCCYTCGTGGTGAAGAGAGAGCTGAGTCAGAAAGCGAAGCTCTCGATTTACCGGTCGATCTACGTTCCTACCCTCATCTATGGTCATGAGCTTTGGGTCATGACCGAAAGAACGAGGTCCCGGATACAAGCGGCCGAAATGGGTTTCCTCCGCAGGGTGTCTGGGCTCTCCCTTAGAGATAGGGTGAGAAGCTCAGTCATCCGGGAGGGACTCAGAGTAGAGCCGCTGCTCCTCCACATCGAGAGGAGCCAGTTGAGGTGGCTCGGGCATCTGGTAAGGATGCCTCCTGGACGCCTCCCTGGTGAGGTGTTCCGYGCACGTCCCACCGGGAGGAGGCCKCGAGGAAGACCCAGGACACGCTGGAGGGACTATGTCTCTCGGCTGGCCTGGGAWCYCCTTGGAGTTCCCCCGGAGGAGCTGGAAGAAGTGGCTGGGGAGAGGGAGGTCTGGGCCTCCCTTCTGAAGCTGCTGCCCCCGCGACCCGACCCCGGATAGGCGGAAGAAAATGGATGGATGGATGGAGTGTTGTCTCCAGCAGAAACACTTTGTTTTAAACTTTAAACCTCTGATGTTTCATGAACATGTCAGAGTTTAACAGAGTCTCCTGACACATTTGGTCCAGTTCTTGCAGAGCTTTAGTGTTGTCTGCTGGTTCGCTTGTCTTTTGTGAGCTAAAACTTCTTTCTTCCTTCTTCTCTCTGATGCAGATTGCAGAGCTGGTGGCCACAGAGTTTTTTGAACAGGGAGACAAAGAAAGGCGGGAACTGAATATTGAGCCAATCGTAAGTACTGTGGAGTCTCATCGCGCTCRATAAGCCCACCATGACACGACTCGTTTAGACCCTTTCAGGATTTACTGTGCTGTGAAAAAGTTTTTGCCTCCGTACAAGATTCTGTTTTTTCTTTTTTTGCCACATTTTAAATGTTTCAGATCATCAAACAAAAGTTAAAATAACTTGAACAAATACAGAACACGCTTTTTAAACAATGATTTCATATACCTGAAATAATTAAGAGTGACACAAAGAGCCAAACATTTTGAAGGAGGCCAATACTTTTTACATTTCTGTAGCTGCTATAGTTTGTTCAGGCATTCTGTGTTGTAAAACTTAATATAATTTGATTATTTTTCACTTCAGGATTTGATGAATCGTGAGAAAAGAGATAAGATACCCAGCATGCAGGTGTCCTTCATTGATGCCATTTGCATTCAGTTGTATGAGGTAATGTCAGTACGGTCCATGTCAGTAAACCTAATAAACATACAACATATCTGAAGTTCTGAACTCGGGTCTTTCAGACTTTGGCTAGCATGTCGGAGTACTGTTCCCCGCTGCTGGAGGGCTGTCAGAAGAACCGGCAGCACTGGAAGCATTTGGCTGAAGACTTAGAGAAGGGTCTGGTCAATGGACTGGTGTGACACCCCTCACCCCCCAAATCTACTTCTAACAGACGTAAACTCACAGGATTCTTCTGGCCTCGCTAATTTTCATGACTTTAGCCCAATGTTTTACATGACATGCTGTGTGCACTGAAACAAACCTGTAAAGTCGTTTTCCTGTCCTAAAAAATACGGAAGCTTGTTGAGGAATGAAGGGTTTGTCTGTCTGTGGGAATCCATGCTATAAATGTTAACTTATGGTTATTTATCTTCGGTCTGACCTCAGATCTGAGAATCTCACAGCCAACCMGTGTACCCGTTGGCAGTCAGAAACAAAACAGGGTTTGTTAGTTGTTGTGCTCAGGAACTAAGCCCTGCAGCAACATGTTCACTGAAAGAAGTTTTAGTGCCGTGACTGATTTGGTACAAACTGATAGAAGCAGAACAAGAAAGCTGCCTGTGTGCACGAGGCAGCCATGTTGGATTTTGAGGTTGGAATTGGCAAGAAACATTCAACATTTTCAATCTAAATTCTGACTTCAGGGACCATTCCAGATGATTTTTCATCAATTTAACCTCTTGATTATAAGCATGTTTACAGTGCTAACACTGAGTGGACTGATTTCTATGTTCAGTCCTTCAGACAAAATACAATAATAGAAATGTTAAGTTATAGAAAAATTCAATCGATAACCAAAGGACAATTGTACAAACCTTCAGATTCATCTTGTAGCATCCATATTACAYTGGTTCTCAAACTGGTCATAAACACCACAGCAGCAAAGCTATRAGTGTCACCACTATAACAAACAGAAAAACAGTCCCTTTATCTGACAGAAATAAGCCAACTGACCAATCTACTTATCGTTAGCTCTTCCCTAAAAATGAACCCCCCTTCTTTATTCTAAACTTTAAACCCATTTAAAGAGACACACAGAGGACTGGTTATCCTTGACTGGACCAGKTGTTTAGTGGCTGAAACACTGAGAACATATCCCATAATTCAACCAAACATAGATGTTCTGATTGAAACTTCAATAATGGTAGRAATCTTCACATTCTTCTTTGATATGCACCAGCTGTGCCTCATGTTTCACTTCTTTCACACATTGGACTGATTCAGATAGACACTGTAATAGGAAAATCACACTGAACTGAAGTTGGACTCTTTAAAATCCTTTGATTCCGTACAATCTTTGCATTGTCCAGTTCTAAAGACACTGTGGTCTAAAACATTCCTCTAATCCACAAGTTTGACATAACTTGTATGAATTTTCTTTGTTTTGCACTTTTTGTTGGTAGCAGGTACTTTTGAGATTTCACTGATGCTGCTTCAGTAACCATCAGTTAACCATCATTCCCTCCAGTTTCCACAAAGGGTTTCCACTGCATTTTTGTTTGGACTAGTTTTGGTTTGCAGTCAAAGGTTGAACCACTCATCCTTTTTTGTTTTGGGCCAATATTGCCTTTTAGTTTTATGTCACTGTTTAGCTTATGGTAATTAATTTGCCTGTTATTTAACTATCAAATAGTTTCTGAGTACCATTGGAGGTGGTCCTGTGTATCACCATGGTACAAGTTTGAGAAACATGGTATTAATGTGTACATGTAGATGTACTGTAATGCTAACACATTAGCACCTAAATTATGGACTGAATTTGTAACATTGTTGTGCATCAAAAAATGTCCCCTAGCTCATGAATATAAATGAAGTTCAGCAGATTGTAGCAGTTAGTACTGTTCCCAGACTCTGGTTGAGRTTCAGTCCCGTCAGGTTTGGTGAGCAAAGTATTTTTTTAATGAAATCACCTCAACAACAAAATTCAAACTAAAGTTGAAGTATGTCCAAATATAACTTCTACAACAAAAAATGAGGAACTTCTGTTTGTTTTACTATCAAGGTACAGCTCATTTTATCATGAGTTCTTAGGGCCGTCTTCTGTATAGTCCTGTTTCTTTAGGACTGTCTTCTGTAGTCCCAGATTTTTTAGGACTGTCTTCTGTAGTTTCAGAGTTCTTTAGAACCGTCTTCTGTGGTCCCAGATTTCTTAGGTCTGTCTTCTGTAGGTCTAGAGTTCCTTAGGACCGTTTTCTATTGTCCCATGTTTTTAGGACCATCTTCTGTAGTCCCAGAGTTCCTTAGGACCATTTTCTGCGGTCCTATGTTTCTTTAGGACCATCTTTTGTAGTCCCAGATTTCTTGGGACTGTCTTCTGTAGTTTCAGAGTTCTTTAGGACTGTCTTACATAGGTCCAGAGTTCCTTAGGACCGTTTCCTGTTGTCCCATGTTTTTAGGACCATCTTCTGTAGTTCCAGAGTCCCTTAGTACTGTCTTCTGTAATCCCAGAGTCCCTTAGTACTGTCTTCTGTAGTCCCAGAGTCCCTTAGTACTGTCTTCTGTAGTCCCAGAGTTCCATAGGACCATTTCCTGTTGTCCCATGTTTCTTTAGGACTGTCTTACGTAGGTCCAGAGTTCCTTAGGACCGTTTTCTGTGGTCCCAGAGTTTTTAGGACTGTCTTCTGTAGTCAGAGTTGTCAGCCACAGGAAATAACACCAGAGTGAGCACTAAGCTATATTTATGACCATAGGCTTTATTTTTGCATGGTGGTTTTSATCTTGAAGTTTCACCTTCGCAGTTAATCTCACTGTCAGGTGGTCCAACCCAGGTCCTTGAGAGACCAGAACCAGTCCAGTCCAGTGGGATCAAATGGACTTACTGTATACTTTGTGTCACAATTACTAAACTTGTTAGATGACTTTGTTCACGGCACACAAGTTTGACTTTTATACATTTTTCACTCACTGTCTTAACTGTTGCATATTTATTTTTGTTTTATATATTTATTAGAGTTTCTATATTGTACTTTTGAAAAGAGCACATAATTCTTATAGAAAATGTAGTTTTAATATGAAAAGCAACTGTTTTCTTTTTTATTTTTTGAAAGACCTTTTTAACTACCGCATGATCTGAAACCTGTTCAGAATGTTTGCCTTGTTTTAGTGAAAAACTGGTTTGATTTTTCCACTGCTGTGTGATAAAGCAGGACCATTAAAAAAGTTTTATTTCCTCATGTTTCTTTACACCCATATCAGGAAGTAAATCCAGTCTATGAAAACATATCAGCTGATTCAAAGGTCAAATTATTGCTGTCACTGAATGAGATCAGCTGATCTAAAACAAATCTTCTAGTTGTACATTTGATGGAAGCTTACATTTCTAATCCACCTGGTTTCGAACAATTGTTGAAAACGTCTCGAATTGGCCAGAGTATGCTTACTGTATACCCTGAAGGTGAAGTCACGTTTATTTCCTTCAGAGACCAAATCACTTAAAACTTATTTCAAAGATAAAATCCTCAAMTTCTGAAAACTAAGCACATTTTGACTTTTAACACTGGGTCAGGGACGTCATGCAGTGTTCAGAGGCTGTACTGGTGAAAACACGTGTCGGATAGTAAAAATGCACTCATCTGCCTACGTGTATTCGAAATACCAGGAAATACTTGCTGATATGGGTCTGAGAACTGGTTTTGTGCTTCAAGTGTGATTTAGTCACATTTAGTAGTTAGTACCTAGTCCATAAGTCGGACCAGTGGTACTGGTTCTACAGCAAGAGCGAACTCAYAACTTCTGTTGTAAAACGATTATTTCTGACCAGATTTCTACTTACTTTAAATACACATTCAGGTTGTTCTAGTTAGTTATGTAGAGAGAAATTATCCTGTTTTGTTGGGATCACTGTTCACTCCTACACAACTGTAGTTATACGCACACCAACAGATGCCACATTAGTGCATTTTGTCATAAACACGMTGAAGCACTTGTGTAGATGCTTAAAAAGATCATCTGTATTTGTTGTGGTTGTTTTGTACTTTGAAGTTTCCAGGGTTGTAATAGACACGTGCTACTTTTTGTAACATGATGGATTTCTGTAATAAATCTGGTACCAGTGTGACAGACAWGTCTCACTGTGAGCCCAGAGTCCGGCTGAATAAAGGATGTTATTTTCCATGTGTGGTTGAGCTTCATTGTTGCACTGCCACCTTCTGGTCAAACATTAATAATGCACAAAGAAGCAAGGTGTGTTTGAGATGGATTTTTAACGTTGAACATTTAAAACAGGTTGAAAACTTAAAGAGGAACAGGACATTAAAGGAAAAACAAGTTGTTTATGAAAATATTTACAGAGTGAATGGGAAAGCTTTGTCACGACTCTCAAAACAAGACAAAAAAAAGAAAGGCGGTCCTCTGAGCAACCAGAACTCAAAACAGGAAGAGGTGGGGCTTGTGGTGTGTTCTGATGTTCACAGGGTTAAACAGAGTCYGTCCTCTTGTAGGCCACCATGCTGTTCACCTTGTGGATGGATGTGGTGAAGGAGCGGAGACGCACCTCCTCTGATTGGTCAATAATCTGTGGGCCAGACTCCTCCCACTTGTCTGGAACCACCAGGTCTTTGTCTGTGTAGACCAGGAGGTCAAAGGCACCTGCAGCAGAGGAGGGAGGAGTTACTGTGGCAGAACTGGAAGCAGCTTTGATTTGTTGGAACAGATCAGAAGAAAAGAAAAAGAAGTGGTTCCTCACATGGTGTCTCCAGCAGTGGCAGGAAGGTGACTGTAGCTGTTATCTGTCTGATGACGGAGCGGATCTCATCCTGAATGGTCTTGATGGATTTCTCTCTGGGAGCACTGAGAACAGACAGGAACACACACTGATCACTCTGATGGTGATGGTAAACTTCAACTGCAGCCAAACATCTGATAAAACCAGTCGCTGATACAGTATATTACTGGATTGGGTGCCATATGCATTGAGCTAATGCTAATGCTAACCAGTGAAGTACAACACAGGGGAACTGACCTGCTCTCTTTGGCTGACTTGTCACACTCGATGTCAAACTGCCATCTCTCCAGAACCTCGTTGGTCTCCAGACAGGTGATGACCAACACCAGCTTCTGCACGGTGCACTCAAACAGCCACTCTGCGACACAAACACACAGCATTTCTTTACCACAGTGTACAGCTAACGTCACACTCACCTGCTGAGCAYCAGCAGGAACATCAACRCTGTAAGAGAAAACTGTTGCAAAATACATCCCTGTTAGCTGTACCTAAACAAAGCTTCTGATTCACAGTTATTAGGTTTAGCCATGCAATGCCACTGGATGGTAAATGTGTAAATAAGCCTATCAGGACCACTCTGCCAAGTGACTCAACACTGAAGTGAAATCGACAATCTCTTTGTGTGTGATTGTTAGAATGTCCAGAACATGTAATCACTAAACTATTGTTGAATGTAATGCATCAACACAGATTTTCAGCTTGTGTTTTTGTTGTACAAAGACAATATTAAATTTTTATTATTTGCACATTCTAAATGTTTTTTTAAGATGTTTAGAATGGATTTAAGAAAATCTGAAAACATGATTTATTGTTGTGATATTTAAAGCCCTTCCAGGAGCAGTTTTTGAAACTTTGGCTTTATTTTCTCTGTAAAAATAAAACACACAGCAGTATTTCTTGGCTTTGTTTGCTCAGKTCTACAGCTGGTTGTGTAGGATGGTTAGTGTAGGGGGGTGGGGACAAGTGTGAATACCATGACTGTGAATAGAGCATGGTGCATATTGTTTGGACTCTGGAATGCATTAGCATTACAAAGTTAAACAATAAGAACTGATGACTATGTAAATATGGTCGGTTACGTGTTCCACAGTGGAGGTGTGTATGAGGACGCTGCAGACACAGCAATAACCTGCAGGAAGTGTGGTGTGCATCTGTGCTTTTCAGATGAAAGGAACTACTTTTTGGAGTACTGTGATATTTACTGTTATAAAGCTGTGTAAGCAATCCACAGTGCAAATCAACCCTTAGTTGTTCAGTAGAGCAGTGGTTCCCAAACTTTTTAGCTTTTGACCCACAAAATACCAGCAGCAGAAACCTGTGACCCCAGGTTTTGTTGGTTGATAAACATTGTTTTCATGTCAAAAAAACAAGAACATAATAATATTTATTACTCTCTTTTTGTCCATTTTAAGTACATTAACTTTACTCTTTTGTAACAACAAAGGTAAAAAAAAATTGTTGTTAGTTGTAATGTTTTAATTAAGTAATTCAGAAAATCTTTTCAGGACCCCACCTTGATGTTTCGGGACCCCACTGTGGGTCCCGACCCCAACTTTGGGAACCACTGCAGCAGAGTAAAAACAAAAAAACACAAATTCTCCTCCCACCCAGACTCAATGTTGCAATATCACATTTCTGTAAAAACCTTACTGAAACATCAGAAAACCCTTTATTTTCTGCTCCAGGAGCCTCCTTTCTTAGCCTGGCCCTTACCTTCCTACGCAGCTCCGCTCAGTTCTAGTTTCCTCAATTCTAGGACAGGGTCTGGTTTTTARCAGGCTACCCTTCATCATAAAAAGAGGTGGGAAAAAAACTACGCTTTTTTTCTATGGTTAAAAAGGTTTGGTTTGGAAAACGTGATCAGACAGAAATGTAAACAGTTATCTTTGTGTAATCCTGAATCTGCCAGTTTACTTCTGCTCTCACAGGTTAAAGCAGTAGTTTTAGGTGGTAAAATGTGACACATATTAACATCTTTTTGCACACTGACCTCAATCTTTTCCTTGACTGATGTTTAACACTAGACTTTARTCCAATACAACTGAGGCTGAGGATTCTCCTCCATCAACAATGTTTATCAGGCCAAAAGTGTTTCACATTAGCTTTAGCTAACACTGCTTCTTTAGTTTGAATAATACTAAAAGCCAACAGAAACACAACCAGTGAAAAACACTTCACATTTCCTTAAAGTCTGATTTTTAATATCTGTTTATGATTTTACATCTTTTTTCCACATCAAGTGTCTTCATCTGTGGCACATTCAGACAGAAAAATGTTCAAGATTTGATCAAATTTGTGACCCATCAAATCTAAATGAGGATTAAGCCCAAAAGTGGAATGTGGAGAAATATGCAAATATGGTGTTTTGATTAAAATAGTTGCAAAAATTGCATTTTGTCAAAACAATAGATGCCTTATCAATGTATCATTTCAATCAACTGTCTGAAATATAATCATAAAACAAAATTTTGAAGCACGTTTTAGGGCAGTAGCAAAAAAAAAAACTGATTTTGAGGAAAAACGCCTTAAAATTGTGAGATTTTCCCTGTGAGCTAGAAATATTTTTGTTTGTTTTTTRCCAGCTAGAAAATCTCAATATTCAAATACTATTTGAAGTTTCTTCTTTATAAWGACATTAAAAACTCCTCCTTACAATTACATAAAATTAGGATTCAGACCAAATATATTAATGTATTATTGTGGCCAACAAGACAAATTAAGGCATATCTCTGGATCCACTTTTGATATCAGAATGATCCAGGTATCAAAATTRTACTTTTAAAGCAGGAATCTGAAAAGGTAATTAGGTCATTTTGACCAAATTTGACTTAATCCTTATTTCGATATGATGGCTCACATTTAACAAAAATACAGCAAAAAGGAGGTACATCTGCAAATAAACATTTAGTGATTTGTTCTGCTCATAAACCTACAAACTCTTTAATAAACTCAAGCTTCACTTTTGATGTCACGCATCGTCTTCAAAATTCTTCTTCTCACATTTAAAGCTATCCACCATCTTGTCCCTCCTTACATGTCTGACCTTGTACATATCTCCATCCCCTCCTCTCTTCATGTGTTCAAGRCTGCTTTGAAAACACATCTCTTTACATTAGCATATCCATCTTAACTTCATTTGTAATCCATGCTCTCCAACTCATGCCATCTTGTCTCTAACTGTATTTTCACACATTCTCCTATGATGTGCCTAATGCTGTAAGTGTCCTTGGGTGTCCTGAAAGGCGCTTTTCAAATAAAATGATTATTATTATTATTATTATTATTATTTGTTGTGAAAGAGTGAGCTGAAAAGCTAACGTTAGCTTCCTTTCCCTTTGTTTTGATCTGACTTTATTGTCTTATGATTCTGTTTTTTCAAAGTACAGACTTTGCTCAGCTTAAACCTTCTCACTGCTAAATGTTGTTTCTTGATGGCAGTCACACGTTCATTGTGAATGTACTGTAATGAAATAATTAAGTTTTGTCATTCTAAAAAACATCCTTGTAAACAGAGGACAGTAGGGTTGGGCAATATTGGCAAAAAAAATTAGTCACGATTAATTGTGGTATTTAGCCGAAAATGATTAATTTGACMATTAATCCTCTGGAGTCCCTGGACACCCTTATTTTATAGTGATGACCAATTTAGTGGGAAAGATTTGGTCTTTGTAAAAAAAAAAATTCTAAATTGTGTGAGAATTACAGATTTCAGGATATACATCATATTTTAAATTGTGTAGATAGATAAATAAATTACAGAACTTTATTTTTAATGTTCGTCCTATTTGAAGCAGAGAGGAACAACAAGCAGACTGACCAGAGTAATCCCCAGTCAGTCCGCCTGGTGGCATTAATCATATTAATCGTCAAGTGCCAAAAAGTAATCGATTAATGTTTTTCTGACGATTAATTGCACACGATACGATTATGCCCAACCCTAGAGGACAGTTTCTACACAGAAAATCCTCATGAAAGAGTCTACAGAGGACCATGAGTCACACTGCACTGCCATAAAGACAGCATTTCTGTAGCATTTGGAGAAAGTGTGTGTCTGCACACCATCCAGCCCTCAGGAGACTGAACAGGAAGTATTTCCCTTTTATCAAGAACAATAACTGTTTCAGCAGAACAGCGGGCCCTGCAGGGGTTTTCAGAGAGCTTTGCTGTGTTGTGTGCCTCTGTGAGGAACAGACAAACCTTTGAGCTGAGACACCACGTTGGTCAGGTAGTTCTTCAGCTTGGGATCAGTGGTGAGCTGCAGGCTCATGTCGTAGTGGGTGACTCTGGTGAACATCTCTGGAGGGTAGATTCCCCGCTGGTACAGGATGCTGTTGATGCCGAAAGCTGAGGAGGACAGAGGGTTCACAGAAAGCACAGAGACTCAGTGAAACAGATACTTGAATATAAGCTAACATTGGTTAGACGTGGCAGCCATCTTGAGCTAGATAGACTGCAAAAAGTTTATATCAGTCATATAATATTTACTTTAAGAACATTTCATTAGAATCTGCYCAGTGTTTCAGGAGATATTTGATAAGTCATTTTATAACAAAGGGGAAAAATGCATTCTGTATGGAGTTTTCAGTGTAACAGCAATGTAAATGTAAGGAGCTGAAACTCGTGAGTAAACCGGCAAAATATAACTTTGATCACGGTTCTTCATAGAACATACACTTCARAGACTGGAAGTAACCGTGCTTTCATAAAGCTGCGGGCTTCTTTAAAATTCGGCTCAAGTAAAACTCGATAATATTGAAACAATTCGTAATATTAGCTAAAAATGAACCGAATCCTCCCTCTGTTGTCCTCCACTTCATGGCAGGTCGTGATGGGCGGAGCATCATTGTAAACACGTTTAACTCAAAAGTTCCAGTTTTACAAATATAAACTCTCATTTACATTATTTGCTCTAACTGCGAGCTGTTTTTAAAGCTTTGACTTGGTACTTTATTTTCCAGATTTTCCTCAAGAGTTCCGCTTGCAGTTCGGAGCGGACTGGRTGGGCCAAAGCAAAGCAGCAGGTTCGGTTAGCACGGCTGGTGTCTCGTGTCGAAGGCAAAAAACTAAAAGTGTTGCTAATACTCACAGAAGAACTCGGCCACCAGCTCCGCACTTCCTTTCAGAGTAATTCCCTTCAACGTGCTGGTCATCCTCACAACTACTGCTCTTCTATTTCACTTCGAAAACCTTTGTGTTCTTTTCTTCCAGGAAGCTTCGACTACCCGCCGCCCAGTTTGAATTGAACCCTCTCTCGTATGCGCATGCGTGAAAGATTTCTGCGTCATGACGTTGGCGTTGCACACACGACGTCGACGTACGGCGTTTACAACTTTCCGACACTAGAGGGCAGTGCTTGTTTATTTAACATCTGTACCGAAGAAACGGAAAAAGGTTAATTTTTAGATTTAACTCGCTCTGACTTTATATTTTAAAATAGTCCACAATTAATTTATTTAGTTCTTTTCTTGCTTTGAATAAAACAATACAATGAAAATCGTTATGGAGGAGAAAGGAGGAAGCTTGCAAGCCTGAGAACACCTTTCTGACTGAAACACAGGGGTGGCAGCACTATGTTGTGGGCTTGTTTTGCTGCAGGAGGGACTGGTGCACTGCACAAAACAGATGGTAGCATGAGGAATGAACATTATGTGTAAATACTGAAGCAACATCTCAACACATCAGCCAGGAAGTTAAAGCGTGGCACAAATGAGTTTTCCAAATGGACAATGTGCTGAAGCATACAGCCTAACTGGTTACAACTCATTAACAAAGTCAATGTTTTGGAGTAACCATCACAAAGCTCTGATCTGAATCCTATCGTAAATGTTGCAAATCTGAAAAGTCAGTCCTCACACATGACAGTAAGAATATTTACTTTATTCAAGCTGACAAGCATGTACAGAGCCCTCACACGCACAATTAATAACAGTCTGTGTTCACACAATCATCTTTTGCATATTTCATACAGATATAAATAACATCCATCCATCCATTTTCTGTACACGCTTCTTCCTTTTCAGGGTCGCGTGGGTCACTGGTGCCCATATCCAGCAGTCACAGTGCGAGGGGCAGGGTTGTCTTGTGTCAAATGACCCTGTGGCTGCAACAACAAGGGATTAGTAATGGAATTATTCACTTACATCACCTCTTCAGTGGTAAAACATTCACCATGTTATACTGTTATAAAGTAAAGGATTTTGGTCTCGGTGAGAATTCCTACAACCTGACAAATAACATCAAAGCAGTTTAACTGTTTTTTTTATATTTAAAAGAACATGTTAGTATAAATGCTGACACACACTAAAAACTTGATTCTTGCTTGAACTGAATAGGATGTTTCAGTGAGTTGAAGGTAACAAGAACTTCCACATATATTCTGACTGTAAATTAAGTTTTGGTCAAATATTTGAAGTTTTATTTTAATTTATTTTCACGCACAAAAAAAAAAGGCAGATTTCTTTGAAATAATGAATATTATCATCTAATTATTAAAAAAGATGCCAACAATTTTGCGTAATCTGTTAGAGCTCAGAATTAAGGATGACTCTACCAGACCCAGACTTCCCTCTCCCCAGACACTTGGACCAGCTCATCCGGTGGAATCCCAAGGTGTTCCCAGGCCAGCTGAGAATCATAGTCCCTCCAGTGTGTCCTGGGTCTACCAGTGGGACGTGCCTGGAACACCTCACCAGGAAGGCGTCCAGGAGGCATCATAACCAGATGAACCACCTCAACTGGCTCCTCTCAACGTGGAGGAGCAGCAGCTCTACTCTGAGTCCCTCCTGGATGACTGAGCTTCTCACTCTATCTCTAAGGGAGAGCCCAGACACCCTGCGGAGGAAACTCATTTCAGCCGCTTGTATCTGCGATCTCGTTCTTTCAGTCACTACCCAAAGCTCATGACCATATAGATGAGGGTAGGAACGTAGACCGACCGGTAAACTGAGAGCTTCGCCTTCTGGCTCAGCTCTCTCTTCACCACGACAGACCGGTACAGCGCCTTCTTCACTGCAGACGCAGCACTAATCCACTGTCGATCTTCCGCTTCATTTTTCTCTCAGTCGTGAACAAGACCTGAGATACTTAAACTCCTCCACTTGGGGTAGAACCTCCTCCCCGACCCTTTTCTGGCTCAAGACCATGGTCTCGGATTTGGAGGCACTGATCCTCATCTTGGCCGCTTCACACTCTGCTGCGAATCACTCCAGTGAGAGCTGGAGATCGTGATCTGATGAAGCCAATAGGGCCACATCATCTGCAAAAAGCAGAGATGTGATCCTGAGGTCACCAAAATGGATCCCCTCAACACCTCGGCTGTGCCTAGAAATTCTGTCCATAAAAGTTATGAACAGAATCGGTGACAAAGGACAACCTTGGCGGAGTCCGACTTACTATTACTATGCTGCAGGCTTTGACAATTTTAATTTAATTTGGAAGCCTTGTCAACACCGACTGAACGACTTCATTCACTTCCTCTGCTGTTATTGCTATACTACAGGCAGACTAAAACAGCAGAAAATCTACGTTATCGTTCAAAACTCCTCCTCCTGTTCGCTGATTGACCCAGTTGAAATTCTAGTGGAGAAATCCTTTATTTTTGCCACNCACTTGGACCAGCTCATCCGGTGGAATCCCAAGGTGTTCCCAGGCCAGCTGAGAATCATAGTCCCTCCAGTGTGTCCTGGGTCTACCAGTGGGACGTGCCTGGAACACCTCACCAGGAAGGCGTCCAGGAGGCATCATAACCAGATGAACCACCTCAAATGGCTCCTCTCAACGTGGAGGAGCAGCAGCTCTACTGAGTCCCTCCTGGATGACTGAGCTTCTCACCCAATCTCTAAGGGAGAGCCCAGACACGCTGCAGAGGAAACTCATTTTGGCTGCTTGTATCTGCGATCTCATTGTTTTGGTCACTACCCAAAGCTCATGACCATAGATG